TCTAAAGTAGGCCTCTGTTGGGAGGGTCCTCTACTTTCCAAGAATCTCATGTTCTCCTTTCTCAAACTGCAGCAACGTGTGAGAACCAAAACCCTCCATTTCGATACGGCTCAAAACCGGCATACCTCGACCACGACGTGGCCCATGGCGGCTACTTTGGCTGCAGTAGGCGATAGGCAGCTGCAGTCGTGCAACATTGGTGCGAGGGTAGTCAGGCAATAATGACGGGCATCTCCACCGGCTGGGGCATGCCACTGGCTCAGCCCTGACCGAAATATCCGTCCCATCCCTTCCACGTCCATCTAGGGACGAGAGACGAGAGCCCCAAGCAGCAGATCTCTGTTCACCCAGGTAGGGTACGAAACAAGAGGGTCAAGATTCGGACCTGACGAGTGTCTTGAGTGGGCCAAACGGCCCTGGAGATTTTCAACTACCTAGCCCAGTCTGAGATAGTTCATGGCTCAGGCCCAGCCTGTGATCATCACGTTTGAGATTGACTCTCTCTCTCTCTCTCTCTCTCTCACTCTTCCTGGCCTTGACCAAGGTCATCGTCGATGTCGATGAGCGTCGTCATGTCGGAGGGTATCAGGTCACCATGGGCATACCCACAGCACATACATCCAGTACAGGGCACCCCGTCTTCTGTATGGATGACACTGTCCAGTGTTGGATCTCTTCTTTAGGGGGCCAGCCAGAGAGGGGCCCCCGCCTAGCATCGTTCAGCTTGTACCACCCACCCCCGGCAATACCACACACACACACACGCGCGCGCCCCCAGCGCATTACGTATCCCTCGTCTTCCCCACGCCAGCGTAAAGCGCGCGAGTGATATCACGTCAGAGCACCCCCAGACTTGCTGCGGGCGGTGCGGCGGGACCCCCGGTTTCCCTTTCTTTTCTGCTGATTTGCCGCGTTCCCCTGGCACGTTCTTTTTTTTTGGAGGGGGGGGGGGGGCGGGGCCCGGGCACTTCTCACTTTTTGGGTTTTGTGTTCTGAGGACTGCCCACCCTGAGATTTCGCCCGGGGTATGGAGTGTTATTTCTGTCGTTCTCATCTCATAATCTCAACATCCTTTGTCGGCTCGTCTCGGTTCATGTCGGCCTCTGGGGGTGTGGAGGAGGAAGAGGCCAGGGGTAGGAGCCCATCGGCTGGAACCCAGTAGAGACAAGGTAGCTCGCCCTGGCTGGAGGGGAGGCTTATCTCTGGGACGACTCAACTCAACCTCTCCGCGCTTGGCCCGCCTCACGAGCGAAAGGGGTGGCCAGGGGCTTGTTTGCTTGCAGCGGGGGCCGCGAGAGGTAGACAGGAGAAAGAATGGAAACAGGGTGGATGGATCTCTTGTTCACTCGCGCAAAACACCCCTTCACTCCTCATGTCCGCCCGCACACCCGCCCGTTCCCTTTTGCCTACCTAGGTGCTGTGGAAAGAGGCCAGGGTAGCGGATTCCAGGCATGACGAAATCGAAGGCTTTTGGGGACCCGGGGATACGAGTCAGATCATGGCGTGCGTGCCTTGCTTTCCTTGCCTTGACCCTTTTTTCCCTCCCTCTCCCTCACTGTCCGGGTTCCCTCACCTGGAGACAAACCCAAGGCCCGCCGGCCCGCGCTATCCACAAACAGCAGCTA